TAACTCCTTTCACCTACAAATTTCGTCTTTGGATACAAAGCTAAGTGGATAGTCCTTACGGAGGGACTGTTTAAAAAAAAAAAGAAAGAAGAAAATATGGTAATCTTTCTCTGGTTATCTGTAGGATTTCTATATTTCGTGCAATTGACCAAGTAAATTAGCCAATGAAAGTTTTGTTGGATTTGAATTCTTTTACAACAGTGAAACACTTAAGAGTCCTAGTGGCACAGTGCTTAAGAACTTGACTGTTAACCAAAAAGGTCAGCAGTTCAAATCTACCATTTGTTCCATGGGAGAAAGATGTGGCATTTTGCATCTATAAGGATTAGAGAAACCTGAAAGATTGGAAACTTAATGAAACAGTTCTGTGTCCTATAGTGCCGTTATGAGTTGGAGTTAACTCTGTGGCATTGGATTTGATTTTGTTTTATGACAGTTATTGATAATTTTAGAAGGAAATAATTGTGATCTCATCTGAATGTTAAAACCAACTCAGGAACAGGTTTAAGGCCTTGAACACTAATGAACAAAGACCAGATGAGCTGTGGGAGGATATCAAGAATGCCATCCATGAATAATGCAAAAGGTTATTACAAAGATGGAGGGAGAGAAAAGACCAAAGTGGATGTCAGAAGAGACTCTGAATATTGCACAAGAGTTCTGAGAAGCCAAAGGAAAGGTAAGAAATCAAGAAGTAAAGGTTCTTAATAGAAGATTTCAAATGGCAGCTTAGGAAGACAAAGCAAAGTATTATAATGAAACGTGCAAGGAGCTGGAGTCAGAAAATCAAAAGGTCTGAACTCGCTCAGCATTTCTTAAGCTGAAGGAACTAAAGAACAAATTCAAGCTGTGAGTTGCAATGCTTAGGATGATATAGGCAGAATAGTGACTGATCCAGGAAACATTAAAAGAAAATGGAAGGAGTATAGAGTTACTGTACCAAAAGAAATTGGCTGACACAGAAGAATTTCAAGAAACAACGTATGATAGGAGGCAATGGTGATGAAGGAGGTAGTTCATGCTGCTCTGAAGGAGTTGGCAAAATATAAGACCCTCAGGAGTTGAAAGAATACCAGCAGACATATTTCAACAAACAGATGCGGTCTTAGACGTGCTCACCAGGTTGTGCCAAGGAATCTAGAGCACAACTACCTGGCCAACCAGCTGGAAGAAATCCATATTTATTCCCATTAAAAAAAATGACCTTGGCAGAATGTGGAATTTATCAACCAAAATCACTGTCATATGCAAGCACAATTCTGCTGACAATTATCCAAAAACAACTAGAACAGTGCATCAACAAAGAGCTACCAGAAATACAAGACGGTTTTAGAAGAGGTTATGACAGCAGAGACATTATCACCAATGTCAGATAGGTCTTGGCTGAAAGCAAATACTAGAGCAATGTCTCTCTGTGTTTCATTGACTGTGCAAAGGCATTTGACTGTGTGGATCACAACAAATTATGGCTAACCTTGAGAAGAATGGGAATCCCAGAACAGTTGATTGTACTTACACAAAAGTTATACTCAGACCAAGAAGCAGTCCTTAAAACAGAGCAAGGAAACACTGCATGGCTCAAAATCAGGAAAGGAGTGTGTCAGGGATACATCCTGTCTTCATACCTTTTCTTTTTATTCTCATACCTTTTCAATCTATATGTAGAACAGATCATTTGGGAGGTAGTGTGGCATTATGATTGGGGGAAGACTCATCAATAACCTGTGTTATGGATGACACAACCTTGCTTGCTGAAATTGAGGAGGACCTGAAATGCTTGCTACAGAAGGTCAAAGACATCGTCTTCAGTATGGATGGAAGCTCAACATCAAGAAGACAAAGATTCTCACCACTAGACCATGCTAGATGGAGAAGAAATTGAGACTGTTAACAGCTTCAGCTTCCTCAACTCCACAATCAATGCTCTTGGCACCAATGGCCAGGAAATCAAAAGAGTAATTGCACTGGAAAAATCTGCTGTCAGAAAGCAACAGTGTCAGTCTAGAGGCTAAGGTGCACCTAATTCAGGGCATGAATCACAATTACTTGCTATGTGTCTGAGAGCTGGAAAGTGAGTAAGGAAGACAGAAGAAGAATCAATGCCTTTGAGTTGTGCTGGAGAAGAGTCTTGAATTTACCATGGACTGCCAAGAAAACAAATAGGTCTGTTTTGGAGAGGGTGAAACCAAGTTTCCCCTTGGAGACGAGGATTTTAAAGATCCATCTCGCATACTTTGGGCACATGGCCAGGACAGACCCGTCATGCTTGAAAGAAGGACATCATGCTTGGAAGGGTGGAGAGACAGTGCAGGAGAGGAAGATCCTGGATGAGATGGATTGATACAGTAACTCGGGCAATAAGGTTAGGTGTGTTGGAGTCAGTGAGACTGGCTCAGGACAGAGCAGGGTTCAGAGCTATTGTATGTAGGATCGCTGTTGAATCACAGGTGTCCAGATGGCACTTAACAACATATTTCATGCATTCTTTATAAATAGGATAATAATATATCAGGTCTGGGGTGTATTTCAAATAGACAGTAGCATAAAGCTTGTGGAATCCTATTGTCTCTGGCCTTAGAAATCCTACCAGGAGAAGAAAACATAACTTCTCTGCTTCATTTATTTATGGTAGAGTTGTTGCATTGGGTAATTTTATTTCTATAACTCTAAATTTCCTTCAGTGCCCTCGTATTGTCAGGTAATGGTTTGCTTTTCCTTATGTTTATATACACTAATATAAGACAATATTATGTGTTATTTATAAGATTAAAAGTGCCTTTTATTTACTCTTTAGTTTTGAGATTTTTTTAAGAAGTATATTACTTTGCTCTTGCTCATGATGTAGATAGATATTCAAACAACAGTTGATTAAAATACTGTGATAACAATATTGTTACAATTAATGTTATATAAAATCTAGGAACTCAGGTAGGGTTGTGTGTTGCATGTTATGCTGCTAACCAAAAGGGCAGAAGTTCTAATCCAGCAGCTGCTCCTTGGGAGTCTCCTCCCTGTAAAGATTTATAGCCTCAAAAACGGGATGGAGGATCATTGTGAATCAGTATTGAGTCAACAGTGCTCAAGTATTGGGTTTTTTTCTTTTTCCTGAAGAATATTCATAGTTAAATGAAACGAGCAATTTTTTTTGTTGGTTTTTTTTTCTTCTTTTCCGTCTGAGGTCCTCAAATATTACATTTATGTCTTCAAAAATATAGAATTCTTTCAGGACAATTGTGAGAAGTCCATATGTACAGATTGAGTTAGTTATAAGTAGGTTAGTATTTTAGGATAGGAGTCTCTTCCAGATACTTTTATTTTAAGTAATCTTTTCTGAGATTGTTTTTCCACCTGGGCAAAACTGAAAAGGGAGCAAAATTATTCCATTCTATCACTGCTTTTCAGGTTAATGAGCTTCGGGACTGTAGTGGGAATGACAGTTCATGAAATATAATCAATTCACCTTGTTTGTTTATTCTGAAAACTCCTAACTTACCGTGAGATAAATACTCAAATAATCTTTGCCCCTGAAGAATCACTATATGTGTTCCTCTCAAGCATAATTTAAGAGCAAAACCAGCAACAAAGCAAACAGGCTCTTGTAAAATGAGTATAGCTGATTAAGTCCGTGATTATTTTGTTTCAACACAACCAACTCGTCATGTCTCAGGGAGGACGGTGCACAGCTAGCAAAAAATTTGATCTCCTAGGGAAACCTTCAAATTGGATTTTTCCTTTTGTTGAGGCACCAGTTTCTTCCTAAATATTTGCATGTTTTATGCATAGTAAGATATAAAATATGTAAAACAAACTCAGTTCAACTTACTGCACTCAGTTGGTCCCCACTCATGGCACTGGGTTTGTGAGCCTGTAAATCACAACAGAAAGAGACTGTTCGTTCTCCTGAGGAGCCACGTGTAGATTAGGACTGCTGGGAGGAGCACGTTGGGTTCACCTCACACCCGAGCGCAGAGCACACCAACAGTATATAGAATATTTCTGAGGTGTATATATTTAAACAATTAGAGTTACAGAGTGTGGGGGTCGGAGTGTTGGGATCTTTTCTTGTTTTATTTTAATAGGTTGTAAATAATTTAAACCTTTGCAAATCATTCTTTCCATGGTTTATGGAACAGTATATTCTGCTCCTCACATAATGGTACACTCACCATTTCTATATATACAGAGAGAAAAGAATTTGACCTATGCCTTTGAAAAGTGCTAGATACTTCGGAAGTGCTGCAGTGTTGCTGAATGATTTCATTGCCAAAGAATTATTACCCAGTAAAAGTTTATAATAAGAGGAAAGCATATGTGTAAATGACAAATATGGCTCTACAGGACTAATTTTCCAAGCTTTGATAATTTTCTTTCCTTTAATTATACAGTATATTCATTGCTGAAAATTTAGGAAGTTAAAATAAGTCTAAAAAGTAAACAAAAATCACTCAATCTCACCACCCAAAAGTAACATTTTTGTTGCATATACTTTTCAGATTTGTTTTATGCTTTGTTGTTTTATGTGTAGTCAAATTGCCTGAGACTTATATAGCAACCCTGTGTACCACAGTTTTGAACCCCGTCCTATGCTTATTTGCACTTTTTTTTCTTTCAAAAATATGTTTATTTTCCCAGAACGTGTGTTTATGTAGTGAAGTCGTTATTGAGTACTGTCACGTTGGAAGTGACCCACAGCTGACCCTCTGGCGGGTTTTCAGAGGCAGAGCAGCTGGTGGATTCAAACCACCTACCTGCCTTCAGGATTGCAGCGCCACTTCTTACAACTAGGCCACCAGAGCTCCCTAGTTGTCATATGTATATGTAATTGTACATTCTGATTCTGAAAATATTTTACTTTTGTTGCTGTCTCCCATTTTTCTCTTCCTGTTACCTCTTGAACTTCTGGTAAAATGCATTACTCGTATGCAGCTATGTGTTGGGATTAAGGCCCTCACACCTCATGCATGGAACTAATTATTTCTTTCTCTTTCTTTCCTGCACAGAGCTTTTCACCCTACTATAAAGGAGGATTTGAACAGAAAATGAGTAGACGAGAAGCTAGTCTTATTTTAGGTGTAAGGTAGGTGCACTGATAAGTATTATTTTTATACCATGGCCAAGTTAATCTTGAAGGAGAACGTGTAACAAGATTACCCTTAAAGTGTAGGAGCAGAAGGAGAAAATCTCAAATATTTATAGTTTAAAACCTCAAATCTAAGTGTATATGTGGACTGACAGGTGACATGAATAGATGTGTGGAAGTGAATGAGCTGCACCCTCAACTGTATAGATTTTAATAGATGGATATTTATTTGCATGTATTTATCTATGTGTATTGTAAATAGATCGATGTATATAGTACAGCAAATGGGGGACAAAGTTATGACAATTTATTAGTCATAACCAAACACCGTGGAGGATGAGTTACTGGACCTGGAAGCTCAGGACCATAGTCATGGGCGGGTAGCAAAGTCACCTGGCATTATATAGTCTGGAAGGAAAATGTTTTATATTTTTATATTCTTCTCTGGTGAGTAGCAACTAGGATCTTAAGTTGTTGAAGGCACATGATAGGGCAAAGTTCTGGTCTGTTAGTAATAGGGTCACTGAGTCATAGTGAACTTGAAAGCACTTTTAAAAAGCTACATCTACAACCTAAATTTAAAAAAAAAGCTACATCTAAGGTGCACATTCTAAAAGCACTCATTTCTGTGTTTTCCATTTCTATTCATCTTTCTTTCTACTCTCGGGAGCAAAATGGGAAGAAAATCTGAGACTGTTAATCCAGAAAGGTAATGAGCAATGTGTTCTTCAGTTTTCATGACCCTAACACAAGAAGCACTGCTGATAGAAGGGATCACAACAAAAGCTCCCAGATGGAAAGGGAGGGGAACCCTCAAAATCATAGGAAAGACCAGGCTTATTAGTCTGACAGAGACTAATGGAACCTCCAAGATTACGTCCCTTAGTCACATTTCGAGGCTGGAACTGGACCTCCCAAGATTCTACATTAGGGCAATGATTAGGCAGGCTGATAAGGTGACCAGTAACACCACAGAGTAGCATACTCGTGAACAATCAGCCATACAAGATAAACCTTAAAAGTTGAGCAGAATAGGAAAGGAAGATGAGTGGAAACAAAAGGAAGAAAATGGGGAGACTGCTGTTACAATATGGAGATTATAATTAGTGCCATGAAATACAATGTACTAATTGTTAAAGGGAAAATCAGTTTGCTCCAAAATTTCATCCAGGGAACAATATAAAGTTAAAAACCAAAAGAATACAAAAACTTCAAGTCTTATAAAGCCTCCCATTTCCCTGGGGGAAAAAAAAAATTAGGCAAGTTTGTGCTGTCTTTATTCTTTGACAAGGATGTGCTCTGTTTGACTCCTAAAGTTTCAAATAAATGAATCAAAATGTTCTTTACTGTGCTCTCAATTCTTTCTATACACATTTTAGTAATATGATATTATATTCTCAATTATAGTCTAAGACTTGTTTGATATTTCTTTTCTAGTTTCATAGTTTGACATTTGACATGTTTTGTTGCACTGTTTCTTGGTGATATCCATTTATTGTTTAACTTTGGACAGTGTGAGAGAAAATTCATAAATGATGTTGTATGACTGGTAAGTGCTATAATACTTAGTGTTTTCCTTTCAGCAGCTATAGACATTTGTCTCTCTTATATTCCCTTAGAGCCTACTTTTCATTTTTGTGGGTATTGGCTACTGTCTGTATATTGTAGATAACAAATCTTCAGACAGTGTAATCTGCACAATTAAGCAAAATGGGCCATAATGTTCTATAGTGACATATTTTTTTAGTCTTTTTAGGTCAGGATCTTTTTCTAAGCCAAAGCACTTATTATTTCTGATGACCTAGGAAGAAAAAGTAAAAAAAGTGAGGGAACAATTCAATTCAGTTTGGTTCTCTATCTTTCTAAGGAAAGATGATGAATCTTTTTATCAGTGAATAGAAAATAGGAAACAATTTTAAGCAGAAGAGCCAACTAGGAAGTTAGATATACTGCTAACCGTTCCTTGCTTAATGTTATTCAGAATGAATTATTTTCTTTGAACTTTTATTGAACTGCGGTAATATCTCCTTTATAGTCTTTAAATATGAATATGAAACACATTATAAAACCAAACACTAATGTTTTTTAATATATCATTCAAGCCTGTAGTTATGAGACATAGTTAGGAGTCGACTATATTTTGAGTTCTTTTAAAGTATACAGTTATAAAATTTGATCTTAGTGAACTAGAAATTGCACAGAATTCATAAGAAAATGGAATCTGAGTACAAATTACCAGTTTTACCACCTCCTGTGTGACCTGAGTTTCATTATTTGTGAAATATAAATACAAGTAATATTTCTTTTTTGCTGCATAGAATACTTGTGAAAATTAAATTATATGGTACATATGAAATTCTTAAACCAAAACATGGTACTTAGTAACTATTTGGTAAATGTCAGCTAGGCGAAACTAATCTTCATCCGGTTGCTTGTGTACGGTTGATCTGGGTCAAATTATTTTTAACTTAACTACATTTTACTTTCTTTGACTTTAAATTGAGATTAAGAATATCTATCCTGTTGGTATGACATCAAAGTGTCTGCCTGGTAACAGGACTAAGTAAATGTTGATTCTTCCCTCTTCAGTTTCTCATGAAAATAGTTGCAAAATATTTGCCCTTTAAACTTTAAACAGAAATATAAAGGTAACTCACTTTCCTTTAGCTCTTTCCACAGTCAGGCAGTGCTGATTATGCAAGGCAGTTGTAAGATACGAATCCTTTTGCTGTGATTCTGTTTTCTGTGATCATTAAATCTAAACTGTATAGACTGACAGGTAGATAGATAAAGGTAAAATAGCATTGGTTTTTTTAATACCTTATTAATGAGAAATATTGTACTACTACCTGATTCTTTACATTCTTATATATTGAAATTTATGGTGATTATTTACTAACAAGTGTATTTGAATTTTTGCTTTATGTTTTGCTCATGAAAGGATAGCTTGTATTGTTGGATTTATTTGGTTTTCTGCTTTGGCATCTTTTTATTATTTTTTACTGGTTTGAATGCAAAATTCATATACATTGTATTTCATTTATATATATTTTGTTTCATGTATTCCACTATTCGCATGGTTTCATGGTATCATTTTCATACATTGTTTTATATAACATTAATCACCACTGATCCACGCCCACCATTACCCTACCTTTTCAGGTCCCCACTGGATCCTTCCTAATTTTTTTAACTCCTTCCTCTGCTCACATAACTCTGTGACCTCCCAAATTTCCCTTCTAAGTAAACTTTAAATCTTGTCTGTAACAGAAAACTTTGAATATTTTATCCAGCCATGTATAATAGCAATTATCCTATCTAGTATTTCAATTTCTATGCAATTAGTGATTTTCAAGCATCCTAAAAACTTTTGTGAAGATCTCTGTTTAAACAACATGTTACTCAGAAGCCTACTAGTAAAAATATTGAAGGCAAAACATTTTGGACACAGAGTTGGGGGGCCCCACTCAGTTGCACACACCCACCTTCCTCACTCCTACCTAAATGAACTTGACAGAATGTAAGTCTGCCTTGCATTAGTGAATATAATCCTTAAAGCTTATAGTGAAATTGTATAAAGTAGAAGTATATCATAGCTACATTTAATTGTATACAAAGTTTAAGAACTGAGATTCTCTTATCTTGTTTGATCTATATAATAAACAAGTCTATTAAAATGTATTGAGTTCATAGAGGATTAAAAGCAGTAATACAAAAGGAATAAACTCAGTAGGCAAGCACAAAATACTTCAACTCATCCTTAAAGCTTGCCACTCAGGGTCTGATAATTATTATCTTAAAGGTAGAATATATGGAATTCTTGTTCTTATGTATGAATTTTCCTATCTTTCTAAGTTTAATCTCATTCAGTGTTAGGTAGACGTCAGTATAGATAATGCTTATATGGAGTTTTATGTGTATAACCAAGTGTGCCATTTTTTATGTCCATTAAGTGATTTTCATGGATAATTTTCATTGAAGTAATTTTCAGATTTTGCTTTTTTTGAAAATTAGAAATTAAATATTCAGGGTGCAGGTCTTCCTTAAGATTACATGCAACAGAAAATTTTAATTTCTCTAAATTCGTGTCTTCATTACCTAGTGGGCAACATTTAAGTTCCCATTGTTTTGTATGTGTGTGTACTTTAAAGGTTTTATAATACAGTAAAACTCTTTTCTAGTGTTAGTGTTTACTGACATAGAACCTTTATTCTCTTTCACATTTTTATAGCCACTTCTATTTTGGAACACAATGTAAAACAAATTAAGCACCTGTATACAATCTCTCTCGCTCTTTGCCATTGAGCCAGAAAAAGACTCATGACTGATTCTCCATTAAGTTTCCAAGGCAGTAAATCGTATGGAAGGAGATTACCTATCTTTGTCCTGTGGGGGTGCTGGTGGAATCTAATCTCACAAAAGGCACAGCCTTTACATTACCAGCAGAACTCTACAGACTAGGCCACCAGAGCACCTATGCATATTTAGTACTGGCCACTATTTTAAGTTATTTTCCTAAGTATCTCATAATCTACTCAAGGAGATATGCCAAATTTTTATAAAACCACTAGAAAACATAACCAGTAAAGATATGCTACAGAGCATGTGTGTGTGCACACTCACGCACACACGCACAAACACATGTTTAACCACATAAAAGTTCAATAATACTAAGATTTTTCTTTCTTTTTTAAAACTCTGATTTGCATGAAAGTTTCATAGTTTCATGTTGGGTTTTTATTCAATCATTCATATGTGTTTTATTTTATAACTGTGGAGTTATTTATTTAAAATTGCTTTCCTAGCCTCTGAACTTCACTTTGCCATGTTGTTGGGCAGAAACATGTGGATAGGGAACACTAGCCTATCCACAAGGGGACTGGCTATCTCAGTCATCCACAGGGGGGCTTGGCTAAGTCTCACCAGTCCACAAGCAGATTGGCTAACCATTAAATTGAGTAAATCCAGTAGCAAAGAGAGTCTCTCTCACTACCAGC